ACACACACACACACACACACACACACACATACACACACACACACACACACACACACACACACACACACACACACACACACACACACACACACACACACACACACACATTAATCAACATTGTTTTGTTTAACTTTGTGTGGGAAAATGCCAAGAACGTTAAGAAAAAAATCATTTTAATCAAATTAAAATTAAAATATATATATAAAGTTGTGTCCGGTTCTAGCATTTCATATTTCCTAGTTCCTACTGCATGAGTTCAGATGTATTAATCCATGCACTTAAACATTAATGTTCTGATTTTATTGAAAAACTTGTTCTGTAATAGTTCCTTTACTATTGTGATAAAAAATATTTAATCTCAATTCTGAGGCTGCTCTGTAAATAGTTTTCAAAAAACAATACAAATAGCAACTTCTGATCAATCCATATCAATTTCAGACTTAAAATAATATATTGATGTAAACTGTGCCCACTTCCGGTTAAACAACGCCCACTTCCGGGTTATGCCACGCCCACTCCAAGTACAGATACAGATAATTTAGTTGGTTGAACAGATACAGATACAGATAGTGGTGTACTCGCTCATCCCTAGCGTTTAGCCTGATCCTTCTGGCAACTTCTCTCCGGCCTCATCTTGTTCAGGCCAGGCTCGTCATCCACCAATCACAGCCTCCTGTAAAATAACAGAGACAAATTTGTTTAACATATTTACATCAGTAATTTTCAAAAGCTGAACTGAACAACATTAGGACTACCTTGGTAATGCGGATGGGAGGGGCACACAGAGTCTCTCAGAGGTGTGTGTGTGTGTGTGTGTGTGTGTGTGTGTGTGTGTGTGTGTGTGTGTGTGTGTGTGTGTGTGTTAATATAAATGGCAGCATACAAGTGAGATGTAAGCATGTCCAGGACCAGTGTTATATGATGTTTAAATGCTCACATCATCAGGCTGAGGCTGGACTCTGGGGCATCAGGAGGTCACAGACAGGCTCTCTTCAGCTCCTCTGGAGGTGGATGTAGAAGTGTGCTTTTCTGGCTAAAATGAAGAAGCACAACATTTCAAACAAACTGAATGTTCTTAGTACACACCTGTGGCTGTCAGTAGAGATGAGGGGTGCACCCAGATGTGATCATTAATAAGTTTACTGGAATAAATGAAAACAAATAAAGTTTTGAGACACGAGATAAAGACACGTTATGCAGCGATAACTATTATACAGTGCATTGTGATTGATAAAGGCATATTTACATGTATGAATGTTGAAGGCCTTAAATAAAATTTCATTTCTTGAACCATCAACGAACCTGAATGAACTCCTGAAAGGCAGAACCCAAAAACGGTTCTCTTCAGCCTGTTAACATGGGAGCTAGTTTGCTCTCCAGTCAGAGAAGGGCCTGAGACATGAGAAATGTCTAATACCAGTAATATTTATTTTATTTCAGCAGCAGTACTCTTGTATCAGCTGTAATCTAAGTCAGTGTTTTAGAATAAATGATTAATAAAGTCTGTTAGCCTGTATAGTCAGGAGACCACCAGCAGCAAACATGAAGCTGACGCTAGCTGGCTAAGACACTTCGGTGGTGGACACTTCTACACTACAGTAATATATTATATTTATAAAACACAAACAATAAAAATGCTCAAACTTACCTGAGACCAGGGCTCGGGGGATTACCTTGACTTACAGTCCAGGGGAACCGGTCCAAGAACGCGGCTGCATTTCCTGTTCTCACGCAACCAACGCAGGGTATTTCCTTTATGTCTGCGTTTAAATAGTGTACTAAATGCATAGTGCGATGAGGTCAAACGGGTTCAGAAGAGTGAGGTGAACACTGAAGTCACTCTCCTGCGCCGCTCAGGATGGCCAATTCAGTTTGAATTATGAAACACTTAATGCAAGGCGGGCATGAAAAAGACAAATCAGTTCCTCTTTATCCTTTTCATTAAGTCACAGAATGGGCAGTGATGAAGAAGAAAATTAAAAAGCAGTTTAGAGGATTGCTGTATCGTTGTAATTGTGAGTCACAGCAGGTGTGTAGTGAATATGAAAAAGCATTTCTGCTAATGCAGTTTAATTTTCAAATTTTACTTTTCAAATTGAATTGTTTTACATTTTTGCTGGGGCGAAACAGACTGCAGCACCAGGTATTTAAGCAAATTTTTTAAAAGTGTAATGGGTTCCAGACTGGCACTCTAAAGTTGCAAATGCGGTATTCTGGCTACAGAGCGTGGTGGGGGTCCGAGTGACATTTCATTAACCTTGTAAAGGGTAATTTTAGCACAAACTGGCTCGAGAAAATGATTTAAAATGTGAAAAATTTGCATAGTATGCCTTTAAGCTTTGTTACTGGTCAGCAGAGGGTCACAAAGTGTTTTATAATCTGAAGTTGGTAAAGTTTCTGCCTTAAGAACCATTGAAACCACTTTGAAACCAATAGCTTAAAAAGTTAAAAACTCTTCAGTGCTTCTCCAATTGAAATATTTTGCATTGCATAGACATCAAGTGTCTCTAAGTGTCAGCACTATAGAATGCTAATAATTATTTTTGGTTGCCATTTTTTATAAAGAGGTGCATACAAAAAGACAAGGAGGAAAATGAATAGCTTCGGAACAATCATAAGTGTTTACTACAAATGGAGTGAATGAAAGAAAACACTCTCTCTCCCTGTTTGGAGTTCTTAGTGCCAGTAAACATGTGATCAGATCTCACCATCTGAAACCTGGTGGTTAGCTGACGTAAAAAACAAGACAGATCATCTGTGCTGTAACCTAAAGGCCCACGCGGTGAGGATGCAAGAGAGCTCATCAGACCTGCTTCTGTCTGAATATCAGTTTTCCTCGCATCCCAGTGTAATATAAACCCACCAAGGTAAAAAGAAATACAATGAATAAATAAATACACCTGGTCCACCCAAACATAATTTTTCCTTAAACCCACAATAAAATACATACATAATGAACACTCAGTATGTTGGATCTTCTTTGGATCTCTTTCAACAGTCTATGCTACAATGATCAAACTACGGTAGGAGTCACTAATGAGTTTGGATGGTTCTACGCTTACTCTGGGGACAACAAACCCACTAAAGATTCTTCATCTACTGATCAAATAAAGGGGATCAACAAACTGTCTTGGTTTATTTAAAAAGAATAAAAACGAGAAAAGAGAATAAAAGGGAAGAGGCAATTCAGTAAAACCGGTGAGATAAACAGGACAATCTGAGAGAATCAAAAGTGGTGTTTTTCTTCTGAAAAACACCACTCTTCTTGCTAAAATATATTGATTTAAATTTGATCCAAGTATCAAAAGAAAATTTACCACAAAAATTCACAACCACTGGTCCTAAGTACTGTGCATAGTTTCACCTCATATCAATTACAACTGGTTTATTGTCATAATTCATTTTGATGCATGACACTTTATAAGCTTCATCGTCCTGAGGCTTAAATGAGAAGATCCATCCCTCTTTTCAATCTTTCCATTAAATAAGAAGCAACAGCCTGTGGCATTAAAGTCTGAAATGGGGAAAGTGCTTACCCGGGCTCAGTCCAAAGGTAACAAAATCCACTCGTCAGCACCTCAAAGGCTCAATGAAAAACATTTGCTCTTATCTTTTCTTTGCTCTGCTCACACACAAGTGATTTAGGTTGTTTCCACTGCAAACTGATTGGGCTTCATCAGTGACACTGTTGGCACAGAACTAATGGAGAATTAATGAGTGCCAGCAATGCACCGTCATTTAGAATCTGCTAAAAAAGGAAAGACAATCATCTCTTGCTGTTCAACATAACCTGTTGAGACAGCCGTGTGTTCCATTCATGAACAATACAAGATGATAATATTCACTTGAAGATAATTAGAGATGGTCAGGCCTCTTCACAGAGAATAAAAACCTAACAATTTTTTATAAAGTAATGAAATAAATCAGTCAGAACCTGACACTTATTTGAAGAATCTTAGTGAGGTCTTGTATGAAGAACACAAAACACATGATAGAGAACATTCGGTTGAGCATGCACAAAACTTTTATGACAGTCATTTGTTATTGTGAGGGTGTTGCGGGCATTTCCTAGAAAATAATGTTTTCGCAAATTAGCTGGAATTCTGTGATAGGTTGTAGAGGGCACCAAGGTTCTGATCCAGCATTAAGTGAGTCTGGGGTCATTGGACAAAAGCTTTACTGGAAAATGAAGAATGACCCTGCCCATCTTAAACTGCTAAACCAAAATAAAAATGTTCAGGAGCATTCTAGCCTTGTTACCATATTAATACTGGACATTTCACTACAAATGGAAGTATGCAAAAAACCTACGATTTTATAAAAAAATCTCATCAAACAAATAAATAAAGTTGAAATAGTTCTTTTTATCTTGTGTGAACTGTGGACCTTTACCCCTGTTTCACACGAGAAGTATCAGCATCTGCTTCAAAACAGAGTCCATTATAGTCCACGGGGTGTTTCAAACCAGCCGCAGTGTGGCAAATTTTAGACGTATCTTGGAAGCACTGTTAAAGAAAGGATCAAGTTCTATTTTTTGCCGTGGGCTGCTTCTTGGACACGCCAATTTTTGCAGTTAACATAGGGCTAGACGTGAAATCACACACGGTTTTAGTGTAAAACTCCAAGTAATTTTCTAAATAAAAGATTATTTCAATTTCATATCTATGTAGATTACCTCAATATAAGTGACCTAACGGCTTATTCATTCCTAGCATTGTTCCAGAAGTGCAGCAGTGTGTTTTCTATGGCTTTGATACTGGCAGTGGAGAGGAACAACTTCATATATGACATCAAACATAATTTCGTTCTTTTTAGTTTAATGGCAGACGGCATAAATGAGAAGCCGCTCCTTGGTCAAGACTCTCCCGGTGTACTTGACCCCATTGAAGCTCACAAGTAAACCATTCCGCGCCGCTGATGCTTCCAGTGTGAAAACAGGGTCACTCACAAGCACTCATCCAAAAAATAAAAATAAATAAAAAATAGAATTGATACTTTACCATTGGGGCTTCCTTCATCTATGGCAACGATGGTAGCAGGAGGACCCGCCCGTGAAAGTTTACATTCTGAAATAAAAGGAAAGAAACAACAAATTGTTTTTTCCTTGTTGGTTCTTTCTTCATTGTGAAGCCTCGGGATGATATTTGATAAACACTTTGTATTTATGAGGAAAATTATTTCAGAAGGACCTGAGGTGTGATGAGTACACAAGTGCTGCAAGAAAAACAGCAATAAATGCATACATATAAATAAAGCATGAGCTTTGCAGATAGTCTACAGTTTATTAACTTCATTCTTCTCCCTTCAGTGAGGGGGAAATAGATTGGGGGGAAACAAGGAGCACATGAATTTTATAACCGGAATGTAATGTAGTGTAAAACGAGGTGAGGTAAGGGAGATAAGGACTGTAAAAATAGATTAAAATCATATTATTTGTTGTTGTTTTTGTTTGAAACTACAAGCTTAATCTAACACAACAACATCTGCATGGTCAGCAATGGTGAATACACTGGCACAGAACCTGAAGACATTTAACAGAAGAAAACAGAAGTCAGTCTTACCCTCATATTGCCAATCTGCAGTTGGAGATAACCAAACCATGCCAGGATGGAGGAAAAGTGAAGATAGAGGTTGAGGAAAGATGGAAAGAAGGGAAAATCAGAAGAGAAATATTAATAAAATATAAACCAGGGTCAAACGATGAAATAAAATATGAGCAGCGTCAAACAGAAAATCCTGAAAGCAAGTTTTAAGTAGAAAAAAAAAGTTATTCAAATTGCATGCGTCTTTGTGGAAACATATCTCAACATGTCAGTCCTTTTAAGCTTTAACTGCCACTGTTTACTGTAGTGCAGCGGAAACTTATTTAGCCGCACACCCCCTCCTATGTCCCGATTATGTTGACACACCCCCCAGCCCCCACACCAGTGTGTAGCTATGGGGCTATATATATATATATATATATATATATATATATATATATATATATATATATATATATATATATATATATATATATATATATATATATATATATATAGGCTTCCTAAATATGGCACAACATGAAATTCCAGGGCAACAAAATGAAGTAAAGGAAAAGGTGAACATTTTTATCCTGCCTTTCATTATCACTGTTACATGACAATGCCACACAAACCACATTGAGACCCATTTTCAGAACACCTAGCTTGTAGCTAACATTAGTATCAGATTCATCCAACACAACGGCTCTAAAACAATTCATATGTAAATGTTTTGCATATTTATTGCAAAATCAAATTTTTCTGCTGCTTCAGTGCTGCAACAATGTAATATTAATAAGAAATGATTATATCTTGTGTTTTACAGCATTGTTAAAGCTTCAGATTATTAAGAAAGCGTTGTTTCAGCTGTGAGATTAGTCGATGGGATCAATGAAAAAGAACGTTTGTCACTGACTCCATGGAAGCGTTAAGAGAATTTACAAAAAGTGGCTTTCAATCAGTTTTGTGACTGGCATATTTTTGAGAGTTCAGAAAAGAAGCAGATGAGACAGCGTGTTCGACACTTTTGTTTTTCATCTGACATTAGAACATGTCCGTAATGTCTGAGGTGTTTTTACAAACAATGTATACTTAATGCTCCTGGACAGGGTATGGACTACACAGAGGCTTGCGGGAGAGCCCAGTTATAGGGGTGGGGGGTGTTCTGCTTGGCCTTGGCCCCCAAAATGCCTTGAAATGGCCTTGGGTGTGTGACAGAGTTTTGAAGGTGATCTGAATTGTATCAAATGTATAAATATTGCTAGGCCTTCCAGCCATCCAGAGTTTACAGTTATTACAAGTAGCAGCAGTTCAAGCAGTAGAAAATAAAGTTAAAGACATTTTTCCAAAGGTTTTCTCAGACTTGTGTAAACTACAGGACAGCTATAAAATAGAGCTAGCTGAGGGAGCCACGCCGTATGCCCTGTCAGCACCTAGACGTGTGGCTTTACCACTTATGGATAAAGTAAAAACAGAGCTCCTGAGGATGGAAGAGATGGGTGTGATCTGACAAATTCATGAACCTTCTGAGTGGTGCACAGGATTGGTAGTGGTACCACAACCTAACGGAAACATCAGGATCTGTGTACATCTAACAAAGCTCAATGAGAGCGTTCGGCATTAGAGACACATACTCCCAGCTGTGGACGACACGCTTGCAAAATTAAATGAAGCAGTGGAGTTATCAAAGCTGGATGCCACGTCAGGATTTTGGCTAATACCTTTACATGAAGACTCGGAGCGTAACAATTTTCATAACCTCTTTTGGACTATATTGTTTCAGACGACTCCTATTCGGAGTCTCATCGGCACCCGAACATTTTCAATGGAGAATTAATCAAATTGTTGGCTACATACCAGGAACACTTTGTCATGCGGATGACATCCTGGTGTTCGGGAAGAACCAAACCAAGCACGATGACAGACTGTGTGTGGTTCTCAAGGAGTTTGAGAGGGCGGGGCTTACCCTAAATGAAAAATGTGTGTTTGGGGTGACCAAAGTGAAGTTCCTGGGACATAAAATCAGTGCTCAGCGACTCGAAGCGGGCCCAGAAAAAATTAAAGAGATTTGTGACATGCCAGCGCCACAGAATGTTGAAAGAGTGAGACGATTTATGGGGATGGCGAACTACGCTGGCAAATTCTCCCCCCACCTGCCCAACCTCACAAAACCGTTGAGAGATCTGCTGGAAAATGACAGTGTATGGACATGGGACGAGGAGCAAAAGATGGCTTTTGAAGCAGTGAAGAAAGAACAGAGTTCCACGACCGTTCTAGCTCAGTATAACTCAAAGAGAGAGACTCTTGTTTCAGCGGATGCATTATCATACGGTCTAGGAGGAGTGCTGATGCAGCAACAGCCAGATGGAGAATTCAGACCAGTGGTGTACATATCCAGAAGTCTAACCACCACAGAAAGTTTATATGCACAGATCGAGAAAGAAGCTCTGGCTGTAACCTGGGCGTGCGAGCAGCTCAGTGCTTATCTCCTGGGGTTGTACTTCACCATACGCACTGATCACAAACCCTTGATCTCTCTGTTGGGCACCCATTCACTGCATGACTTGCCACCAAGACTACTCAGGTTCTTGCTAAGGATGATGAGATTCAAGTACAACATCATACATGTGCTACAGCTGGTTGCTGCTGATACTTTGTTGCGGGCGCCAATAGGACTGGAAAAAAAAAACTGAGGACAACACACAGGAAAGAGAATGTCACATGTACATTGACTACATTATGGAACATGTACCTGCTACAAAAACAAAACTGGATCAAATTAAAGACATGCAGGACAGAGATGGCACGCCGAGACAACTCAGGACATGCACAGACAAAAGATGGCCAGCACGTTTATCAGCAGTTCCAGAGTCTACAGCAGTATTGGCCATACAGAGCTGACATACATGTCGCTGATGGGATGCTTCTCAAAGGGGAATGAACCCTTATTCAAGCACCGATGCAGAAAGAGATGTTAAACCGAATCCACCATGGACATCAAGGCATAAACAAGTGCTTCACAAGAGCACAGCAGTCCATGTGGTGGCCAGGATTAACAAGAGACATCAAAGTGTTAGTTGAGAGATGTGAGGTGTGCAGCCAGCATTCCAACTACCACACAGAGCCACTGCTCACAACCACTTTACCATTACTACCATGGCAAAGAGTGGCAGCAGACCTACTTCAATGGGAGAAAAGTCACTACCAAGTAGTGGTAGACTACATCTCAAAATATATTGAAATAGCTAACATGCCAGCGTTTAAACACTGCCACCACAGTTGAAAGGCTGAAAGTCATCTTCGCCAGATTCGGCATTCCTGAAATACTTGTGACTGACAACGGGCCACAATTTGCCTCTTCTGAGTTTGCAGCTTTTGCTCAGGAGTATGATTTTCAACGCGTCACTAGTAGCCCCAGATACCCACAGAGCAACGGGGAGGCCGAGAGGGCAGTAAGAAGAATGAAACAGATACTGGGAAAGAACCAAGATCATCAAAGAGCCCTCTTGGCTTACAGGACAACCCCTTTAGCTCATGGGTTTTCACCAGCAGAACTTCTTATGGGGAGAAGGTTAAGATCTACAGTTCCAGTTTCTCCTCAGACACAGACTTCAGTGGCCAGACCTCCAAGCTTTTAATAGAAAATAAATGAGACTGAAAGAGAAACAAAAGAAAGCTTATGGAGCAAGACACAGAGCGAGAGAGCTGCAGATACTCAAAACAGGTCAGGGAGTTTGGATCCGATAGGCAAAAATTACTGGAACCATCCAAGCGCCTGTGTTGACTCCAAGATCCTATGAGGTGGAAACAGAGCTGGGGACCCTCAGAAGAAACCGGGCTCAACTCATCACTCTTCCTATGCCAGAGAGATCTGACCCTATGCCAGAGGAGCCTGACCTAGATCTGAAACAGCCTGACCCAAAAGTGACTGTGACCAGATCGGGAAGAATCTCCCGTCCACCGGAAAGATTGGACTGGCAATATTTAGTTCAGTGGCCTATTGAAAAAAGGGCAGAGTAATCCCTACAGCAAGAGTCTGAAGGTTCAGGTAGTCTACCCTGTCCTTCAAGGTAGGAAAATGTGTGGGACAAATGTGAGGAGAGAATAAGAAAAAAACAGCAACAGTCATGTTAAACTTCATGCTGTATACCATGTCCTCCTTTATTAGCTAAACACCACTTAATATGATCATACACTTACTAGTAATACGAAGAAGGAAAAAAGCACATTGACCTTGGCTTGGGGATTAAAATTGTCACTCACAGCAAAGAGAGGCAATGTTCAGGCATTCCCTTTTTTCATTTCTCCGTCCTTGCTAGGATACATGAAACCAAGTCACCTAACAGACCAGCTAACGCTAAGAGGATAGGGGAAAACCAGAGTAAATACTCCCAAAGATGCATATCTGATCACAGAGAAAACAGACTTTACAGAACAATGAGCCCACTTCAGCCACTCCCTCCTCTCTCCTCGGCTACTGAGAGACACGGATGATTTCAGCATTCATCTATATTGTAGTTTTCACCAGCAGGGGTGAAAAGATGATTTAGCAGTCCCTGGGCGATATATGAACATAGATTAGTGCTAAAAAGGATTTATCTGGAGGTAAGTCATGCAAAAAGGAGACAAGGGATACTTTCCTTCCCCAGGTTTATACTGACCTCAGTCAGAAGGGGTTGCACAGTGATGCGGGTATGATGGTACTAGGGCCGCAGAAGAAGAGTATGAGGAAGATTTTGGTCTTGTTTTCCAGTTTCAACATTACATTTTAAATGTTGAGAGAAAACATGGACATTTTCATTAACAGAAACAAAAATCCAATCAGAAAATGGAAAAGATGGGCAGCTGGAAAAAAAGAACTGCTCAGCAAATAGAATAGACGAGAAAAGGACCAATCAGAGTTCAGAGCCGACCGCTGTTTGAACAAGCTACCGCTAACCAGACTTCATATTGATGTTTATGCGGGTAAGTCATGTCTAAAGGGCGGAAATGTCCGCACCTGGGAGTAAAAGCAGTAGATGTGCCAATGTGAGAAGTATTTGCTTGGTGAGTAC